TTCAATACAATAGAAATTGGCTCTTAACACATACATAATATAAAATAATAAAAATAAACAACAAGTTACGCGTTACGTCACTGTGTTAATGTGGACGACAACTCAGCATAATGCTAGAAACACGGTTTCCAGCGCTGTTTTTCAATTTTCTAGTAATGGGGTCATAATAACAATTCATTCCCACAATAGCATTAGTATTTATTTCTTCAATTTTATACTGACTTTGACGCAAAATCCTTCGTTATTTCTAATTCCCATCAAATCGAGGTTGATTTGCGTTGCTAAAAATATTACCTGAATAAATCGTTTACATTTCGCCAGTTTAACATTACATCGGTGTTAAACTATTTGTTACGGCTAAAATAAATAATCTATCTCAAAGCCAAGGTATAACAAATATATTATTTAAATATTGAATGTGTAAATTTCAATATTTATTGTAAGTTAGGTATACTCAAAAAATCAACGTTCTCAAATGATGTTATTTTTTGTGTGCATGTTACGCAATATTTTTCGCTAAATTGCAAATGAGTATGTTAATAAACATAAAATTAAATGAAATATTTTAATTCAGGAAAGGTTACGGTAGTTACATTTGGTTTTAAAATAAAATATATACAAAACAATAAAGAACTGGCAAACAATAGAAAATCTAGGAGGATTTTCTATTTATATTTCTATGTGAATAAAATAATAACTACAAATGTTTTGCTGAGCACTCAATTAGGTACAAATAGATAATAACATAGATTTTAGTTCGTAATATTATAGAATGACGTCACATCCATTATGAATTTTAAGTTAAGCTGTATCACATATTTTTTTAGCATCATCATAGACGTATGTAAAGTATGATAAACCATGTACTGGTATTTGTGAATTGTTATTAGACATAATTCATTATTATTTATAAAATTTTATAAAAATAAATCTTTTTGTGAAGGAGAAATTTATTTTTGGTAGGGCGCATATTTTATCCTTCCGGCGTAAAAGTACAGGTTGGTCATCCTGACGGTAAATTGTTAACATTACTGCCTGCTATTACTAACAATCCCCTCTCCTACTGTATGTAAATATCTGTTGATCTACAGGAAGATATACTAACAGACTTGTTTAATAATTCTGAGTAATGTAATATAGTAGTAAGATTTGTAATTATAATATTACTAGCTACTCGCTCCGGCTTTGCATGGGTGTACATGTATTATGACATGTAAACCTTGCTCTTGAATCACCCTTGAAAAAAACCGCATCAAAATCCGTTGCGTAGTTTCAAAGATTTAAGCATATACAGGGACGGACAGACTAATAGTAATGATGATTTATTACACTTGTAAAGGTCGTATGGTGGTTTATCTTTAAACGAAATATCTTCAAACCTAGCATAGTGAAATTGACGATCATTAAGGATTAATCTAGATGATATAATAATTTTGCGAACTTACCGTAACTAAAACATCCAGCAAACTTGTAAGTACCTACAGTTACTGAAAATGAGTTCTTCAATCTATTCTTTTTAATTTTCTTCTGACATATTATAGTTGGTGTCTGATTTGATTGTATTTTTGTGTATTTTATTATTTTTGCCGTAACTTGACTTGACTTTGACGACAGTAAAATAGGAAGCTTATGCCTATTTTTTCACAATAGTGCCATTTCACTACCATTTTAGAAGTTTATTTCTATAGTATAATTATAAGTGTGTGTTTTCTATTAAAGTCTGTTGCTAATGGGAATTGTTAGAACTATTATATAATCTAGTTACAGATTATAAATAATTATTTACTTTATTCGACATTATAAGTTTGACAGTTGTATTCTTATAACTTCATTATTATCTGAGGTCAATCAGTTCAACAAATATAGTTATATATCAACGTGTAGTTGATTCCGCGTTGACTCCAAATGAACTTTATGTTCCAAGACGGAAATCAATGGCAAAAACAAGTTTTGTTTTGTAACTCCTCTGAACCGAGTTCATGACCTTCACTTTCGGATGGTTGTGGAGAAAAAAAATTGGCTTGCCGTCATTATAAACTTTCACATTCGTGATGTTAGTTGTGCAACAAGTAATGGTATCATAATACCACAGATATAAATAGATTTAACTACTGTACTATAGCGTACTTTGCGTTTCAATTATTGACCCTAAATTAGAAACAGGTAAATGTATGGATAATATAGTCATTACATTATTTTTCTGAAGATACTAGTATAAAAATAATAACAGTATTATCAGTATCTGGTTTGTGATTTGCATAATGTTTATTCATTTTCCGTTTGTAATTCGTGAATAATGATTTTATTAAGGTTTATGTTGTGTAGCACTAAATAATATAATACGAGTAAAATATATATGTATACATACATATTATACATATACGAAATACGAATTTTATTAAATTAGTGGTCGATATTAAAAAATATGTAAATAGATATATACTACAATATTTGTGTATATAGAAAGAGAGTGTGTATATAGAGAGAGAGTTGAATAGTACATTCAATTTGTCTAGGGAACGACTAACCATTCGGTTTAGTAATGATAGTTTATCTAATATATTTTTTGTATAAGTAAATTATGCCACGAAAGACAGATTTTTCTAGACAAATTTGATGGTACAAAGAAAAAGGTGCTCGAAGCTCGTCCAGCCACTTTATTTAATTGGCTTAGAAACTGCGGAGTTTTTTATTTCATCTGTTTTAAATTTGTGGAAAGGTAGCACTTATTTCGAACGGGGCTTGAGGGGCTGGGGAGGAGGAAGGGGGGTTGTGTAATATAAATTTAGTCCTTAAATCTATTTGCATAAATTCCTGATGAATTCACCACGTCATGTCCTGAATTCATCCGTTGCATTCCTTTCAACCGCCGGGTATAACATTAGCGCAGTCGGTATGATCACTTCAAAATCATCTTAAAGGATTTTTATTCATTTAAATTAAACTTTTTACAACCACGATTCGAGTACTACAGTGTTCTGTTTTTTTTCCTAATATCGCAAAAACATTTTTATTAGGTATTTGCAGTTTTTATCAATAATTGGAAAAATAAAATTATTTGTCTAAAATGTTAGCGCATTTATAAATGGACAGAAAGAATCTTATTAATTAAAAAAATAAAATAATCTTCAAATTCAAATTATTAACCCTATTTTCCAGTTCAACATATTCTTTAATGAAGACAAATGCTCATACAGTACCTTGCGTCTTTATGAAGGGTAGAGGGTACCTTTCAGGTAAAGAATACCACTGCCGGTCGCCTAGCTATTTGAGTTCTGACGAAAGACAACTAGTGCATTTTCTTTTAAATCTGTTTCCCCGCTTTATTAATATAAAAACTATGAATCGGAATAATAAAATTAAAGATTCTCTTGAAACGATACAAACTTATTCCACGATCTCCAACGTCCACTTCCTATCTCGACATTTCACTGTTGTGATAACCCTGATTAATCTTATGCTTTACTTATGTACATGACGTATATACGATAACTCTGTTTATAGTTTCCTCGTGATGTTCTAGAAATGTAAGGAAATAGGTATAACTGAATCGGAGGTGGTGATTATACTGGATGGGTAATGATAAACTGAGATGTTTCTTAGCGTAATATCTCTGAGATATAAACAAACACAAAACAAGAAACAGAGAGGTTTTTAGATGAATGAAATTGTAGAATAGCGTTATAAGTAGAAAAATACAATTATGTTTTTACAACAGTTTTTTCTTCTTATAGATGATAATGGAATTGTGTACCCGCCTATGGAGAATGATAAAATGAGCACGAGGTCAGGTCAGTTAGCCCATCGTGGTAAATTGACCAATAATTCATCATGATGGTCTCCAGGGGGCACCACGTGCAGGAGAACCTGAACGTATGGTACATTCAGGTTCTCCTGCACTTGTGGACTAATAACCACATTGCTAGCAATGGGGTCATTAGTCCACAACCCCCTTTCCCCCTTCACAACTGTTATCATATATGGGGTAGTAAGCTGTTTTTTAATGACTGACTACGGACTGAATTTACTGTCAGAAAGCTAATTATGGCGAATTCGCTAGGAATTAATGGCTAAGGCTACTATGGTGGACCACATGAAGGTCGACATGACACAGAACATTTTCAGTAATGTGGCTATTTATCCCAATTACTTTCCCCTCTTTATAACTAGGGTTAGAACTTTTCTTAGTACTTTGATGGTGTCAGCACATGCGATTCTATAAGAATAGATTTCCGATACACTCAGACTCATTGCAATTTAATGTAATACACTCGTGCATATCTAAATGTGGCATAGCATACGCGAGTTACGTGATTCTAATAGAAACAATCACAAGAGGTTACATAGTGGAAATATACCTGATTGTTCCGTACACTGACGAGATCTGTAAATAGTGATTAAAGTAATTACTGACGCATACCATAACAATGTCCAGCTTTTCAATCTGACGGCATAGTAACGAGCGAAACTTATTTAGTGGCTATCTGTGACCATATTTGTGCTTATCTGTTATTAAACCATCGCAATTTTACCATTGACCCTTTGAACTAATGCTGGAATTAATTGACTCATGTAATCCCCACGTCTTTAAAATGCAATTCACCTCAATTGACCGATGTTGATTTGTACAAAGTCATCTCAGTGAGTACATCTGTCTCATTTATTGGTACCGCTAGGCAGCTTGATTTATGCCAATTTGAAGAGTGAGATAAGGTAGTCAAATTACAGGATACAGTACATTAAACTTCAGGAATGGTAGCTAATGCTTACACCTCGAGCGCCTCGTGATGCAGTTCATATCTGTCACTTTCCACTAGGTAAAAATGCTATAAATGTATGAAACAATCAGACATGAACACGATAAAGTATAAAAATATTTGCAAATACACTGGACTGGACATTTTATTTAATATTGTATATAACTATATAAGCACTGTATTCTGCAAATAAATTATTTTATTTGATAATATAGTCGTAACTGTTATCTTCTTTTGTTATAGGCGAGTCGGAGTCAACAGAAGTGTAGCGTCGCCCACCATGTTCCGACCGGAGTCGCCACTCGCTGACCATCGCAGCTTGTTGCCTCGTCGGCTCCTTCCGGTTAAAGCACAAATAGCACCAGCGGACAAAAGAAAGAATAGACGCTCCCTCGAGCTAAATCCTCCAAATGACCACGTTACATACGACTACCCGAAACTTCTCATATCAAAGACAACAGACTCCCTCAATACAGAATGTCCTCGCAAGCTAATTCACAAGCAGGACTCCGCTGATAGCTTAAAACGAGCACTTTTATCCAAAGATGACAACAAAAATAAAGAGGCAGACAAAAAAGGCCACATCACTAAAAATGATTCGAGTGAGAGTCTTAAAAAGGCGTTATTGTGTAGACAAGAGTCTAATGAAAGCGCGAAGAGAAGAGATTCTGATCCTAAAAAGGCCTCTAATCAAGATGTAAAAAGAGTTGGTTCGGAGGTGAAGAGAGGTAGCGATAAGAAAGGATTATTGGAGACTGATGCAGATGAACCTTGTAAAAGGATATATGAGAGGCGAACGGGTTGCACTCGACCCACATTACCTCCTGTTGCGGAAAAAGGGGTGGTATCTCCTAATTCTCCTAATGGTAGCCCGAGTACGCCTAGTGTAGCTGCCGTGGCTGAGGGTCTGGTGAGATGGGGCAGTGGTCTATTATCGCCTAAAGAGGAGCCGAGACTCAGAGCAGCCAGAAGTTGGTACGGCTATGGGACGCTACCAACAGACAGTGACAAGGTAAGTCTTGCTTTATTATGATTTTCCTTATATTATCTATGAGCCTAAAGGTTATTCTTAAACTAATTCATATATGTTAATTACATTAACGATCAGAAGAATATTTTGTTCCGCAATATATAACTATGTCCAATCGTGACCGAAAGCTATGAGTTTAAATATAGCATAAGGCATAGTAAAGTGACAGTGCGTACCCGGAATGACGGTAACTGGTTAAATTTGATCGTGATTAAGTGATTTTAAATTTATTGAATAAATTACATATTACTGGATCAAACTTCACTCGTTTAGACATTCCATTTGATTGGTGCTCTCAGACTAAAGTCGTATCCTATAGTACTTCCACGGGTTTAGTGCCATCTACAATCGCCTCCTATCGTTCGGTAAGCTGTAAAGGCCAGTTGCGGCCAAAAGTATTACAATAGTTCGAAAAAAAAAACGTTTTGACATCTTATATTGTAAACTTATCAAATTATTTATTATATAATAAATAATTCTAATATTAACTGAAGTGAAAGTTTGTGAAAGTCTTACATGGATGTTTACAGACAGGTCATATCCTAGGAACATTTAGCACAACACAAAATGATGTTTGATTTTAATTACCGCAGCAAAAGTAGCGGGATATGGCTAGTATCACTTAAAAGTACAATTTCACCCATATGAACGTTTACACTGCATATGTAAAAGATATTGTAAACAAACAAACGGTCGGCATACTTGAACATATATATGTGAATCACTGTTTTACTGTACAAAGTAAAAGGTGATCCTGTTATTTTTTCCGTTGCCAATTAGTAATTTTGAACGGTACATGTCTATAAACTAGTTTTATGAAGATATTTTCATGTATATCCGATTGACTTGCATACCGGTGCAGTGGTTTGCCACGCTCTCTCAACTTCCAGCGGTAAACGGTTGCTATCCTCGATTATTTTTTTAAAAATGTACTAATTCTTCTTATGGATTACATCTTTCTCACTCCCTAAGAAATCTCGCGTGAATATAGATGTTAATTTCTTTATTTATCGGTTAGTTTTAATTTCAAAATCCACATTATTTTTTAAATTTACTCCCGGGACACAAGTCCCTGGAACTGCTCGGAGTTTCCCTCTCTTCCACACTATGGACCCGCCATCCGCACGGTAGATTCATGGAGTGCTAAGAAATTCATCTCTTCTTTCGTTAATATTACATTTTTTGTTAGGTGATTATGAATTATATGATACATATATATATATTATATATATACCTGTACGTAATTAGAATTCAATGTTTTTACAGTAAGTTACCTGGACATACCTTTCAATTATTTCCAAATTATGTACCAGGAAAAATTCTTCTGAAGTTATACCGTGTCTCTGTAAACGATTACTAGGAGACGATCCTGGATGGCTTTACTTATTAGTTCAGAATACTACACTTATCATATATTAATATTACAAAAAAAGACTAAAATATAATCAATGGTAACATACCGGTTTAGTTTCTAGCTCGTTCAAGTGAAGCAGCAAGTAAGGAATAAAGAGTTAAAAATAATACCATATATGAATATAAACGAAAAATAGAATTCATATACAATATATTACAATATGATTGTATGACCGATATGTAGAGTTACACAGTTAGAGTTGGTACACACATTTGAATTTCAATACATGTTTTCAGCCTCTGAAGCCAACTGTACAAATAATCAGATAACAATAAATTGCGAAATTATTCGACATATGTTTTTGATGTTTCATGTCCCAAAATATAACTTTTAGGACAGATGTTTCATATTATTTGGGTTTTATCAAATGATTTCAGTACCTTTTCAATTTCACTACTTTTTTCTCTACAAATGAAATGTAATATTTAATAACACAGCGCCATCTAGACCCAAGTTAAGCTAGATAAAGCTTGTATTGTGGGTACTAGATAACTGATACAATTTTTTTTCGCAAATACATATTATACATAGAAAACACCCAGACCGATACAAACAATCATACACATGAATACAAATGTTTGTGCCGGGCGAGGAATAGAACCCGCGACAATCGGAAGTAAGGCGGTGTGCTTAAATACCTGAACACAGAGGCCGTCCATTATGATGTACTTTCCATATAACCTAAATCTACTATCTATATAAAAATAAATCTATACATGTTATCAGAACTGATCACTGTCTGTCCATAAAATTATTAATAATATAAAAAAATCTATTCTATTAATTATATTACATTACTAACTTTTTCCCGCGGCTTCGCTCGCGTTAATTTTTCCCCTTAGGGGTGGAATTTATCAAAAATCCTTTCTTAGGGGATGCCTACGTCATAGTAGCTTTATGCATGCAAAGTCTCAGCCCGTTCGCTTTAAAATTGACAAAGTTTCATATAAACTTTCATCCCCTATTTTATCCCTTTGGGAGTAGAATTAATCAAAATCCTTTCTTAGCGGATGCTTACGTCATAACATCTACCTGCATGCCAAATTTCAGCCCGATCCGTCCAGTGGTTTGAGCTTTTTTTTTGTGGATGATAATGGAATGGTACACCTGCCTACGCTAACGGTTTACGCTGGCGGGGCACCAGTGGAGGATGATAAAATGAGCATGAGGTCAGGTCAGTTAGCCCATCGTGACAAATTCACCAGGAATTGAACACGATGGTTTCCAGGGGGAACCGCGTGGAGGTCGACCTGACAATTACTAACAATCCCCTTCCCCCCTAAAGTGGTTTGGTCGTTGTTAGATCACTACGTCAGTCACCTTTGAATTATATGTATCGTATACAGATATTACTTACCCTTTTAATTTAAAAAAATGAAGTAAATCTGACCATAGACAATCTTACTACACATACATACAAGTTACTGTTCTATTCTCAACTACCCTACTGTAAATTTCTCCCAATCTTTGTTTTGCAGTCGTGTATAAAATATCAGTTGAGTTTCTAGCCAGTTCTTCTCAATTGAATCTGTATACTGGACGGTTGGGAAAAGTATGAATAGATAAAACTTGATGCACATAAACGGCTAAACTGTCCTACATGAATATATGATTTGATTTATTATGTATTACATTATTAAGTCCGCAATTATAGATCTTTTATATCTTTATTGTAAACACAGTAATCAATTTTTTACTTATAATGAGTGGATGTACGAGTAATTATAATATGAGTACATATTCGTTTTTCACGGCATTGTTGACCTCAAAACTAATATTAGAAGGGCAAATTGTAATATTTTTATTATATGTACATAATGTACAATAACTATTAGTCTCTGATGGCCTTTGTGGTTAATATCATGCATGATTCGACAAAGCATGAAATTCTGATAAAATTTAGTACAGCTTTCAGTTTCACGCCCATAATGTAACTTTATAATATTTTTAGTGGATGATAATGGAAGATAAATGTTCACGCGCCTGCACTAACGCAGGTGAGGTACTAGTAGAGAAAATCCACCAGGAATTGATCTGATTTGGTGCAATTGATCCAGAACTCCGACTGTTTACAGGGGAATCGTGTGTAGCTTTACCCGATATGGTAATTGCTTGCAATGACGCTATTAATTCCCAATAACTAACGGTTGTTTCTATTATTTATAATATTACCAAGGATAGATGACTCTGTGTAACAGTCCCAACCTATGAGTAATACCGATAGAGTATTATCTAAAAGCGAGTTTGTAACCGCGCTAATATAAACAAAATTCGCGACTACTCGTACCACGAAACAAAAACGTGCAACGGTTACGAGCCACGGTTCGTTGGCGTTCCATTCAGTCCATCTCCACGGAATGAGGAACAAACATGCGGAATACGGACACGGAATTCCATTTACAAAGTGGATCCCAACGTTTTTACAGTAAACTAGGAAACTTACGCACGCGTGACGTGACGTGACAGTGACATTAAACGAACGGTGCGCGGTCGGCGCAGACGCTCGAACGAGTCGCACATCGCGCTTGAACCCCTTTCGATCGTCAGTAACAAGTCCTTTCTGTTCTAAATATTTTTTGTGTGGTTACTCTGTGATTCTATACAATTTTTTGTGATTACTCTGTGATTCTATACAATTTTTGTGATTACTCTGTGATTCTATACAATTTTTTATGATTACTCTGTGAACAAGTGAAGATTACACTGTGCGTTTCGTATCGCCTGTACCAAGTTATCAGTTTACTGTCATATGACCTAGGATTATTTTCCTTATCAGTAATTGATTGGTAATTAAGTTATCACAATGCCGAACGAGGTTCGTCGTGCAAGGGTAAGGTTACTTAACCGTTTTCTAAGTACAGTTAGCCTTAAAAGTGCGTGACGTCATATTTGGACGCGAGAACATACGGTTTTATGTCATAACATGTAATTATGTAATTAAATGTAGTGGTCGCGGGTAGGTCCACGAATCTACCGAGTTCATGAATGGTCAATGACTTACAGTTGACATTCCAAAATGCACATAATTTAAGATTTGCTACATAAACTACATATAGAGCAGAATTGGTTTTGGTTGGTGAATTATAGCCTATATGTTAATCTGATGTATAACCTAATTACTGCTAAAAAGATGAGCTATATTACTGTAAACAATACTGTGTGTAAAGTTTCATCAAAATCCATTCAGTAGGTTCCGAGTGAAAGTGTAACAAACATCCATACTTACAAACTTTGGCATTTATTTAATATTAGTAAGATTTGCTTCACGTATTTAATATATAGAGGATCTAGGTTATTGGATTAAGAATTAGAGGCTCCGTATACAGTCGGAGCTGAAGCGGGCACATCTGGCACCAACAATGCCAACCTACTGTAATCTTACGTGATCCATTGTATTAACTTTCTCCTATCTACCGTACATGTAATGCTGACTGGCGCTACATGATAAATTGATTGTTTGAATTGAATGTTGCACAAAATGGTTTACGACTGCAACTGCGTTTGTGTAATCGGGACGTATCACATAGTATAAAACAAAGTCGCTGTCGCTGTCGGTCCGTTCCTATGT